TTACCGTACGAAATATATATGACTTTTTAAATATGGGCTTATAATATATTGTTAATGAATAATTTGTAATTAAGGACTAAATTTTTACGTTTATGTTGTGTACCTCGTTTGTGAACATCTGCTTTATCAGTTATGTATACGCCTCTCACGTTAGCTCCATCGATCACCACATTGTAAGTGCACAGTAGCAAACGGACTTTTCCACATACGATGCTCAGGCCGCCTCGACTTTAACGCATGGTCATTATTGGCGCGCGGCAATGACAAAGAACGGAAATGATACCATTTTACGACACGCATTCAATTCTACTCTCGGAGCACGTCAAATTGCAACTGTAGCGGGAATAAATACTAGCATCCACAATCTTCAAAGAATCATACAAAAGAGAAGACATATTAAACGACGTAAGCTAATGAAAAAACCATCCCTAATAGCCAGCATAAACAGGCAAGATTGGAGTTCGCGGAGCATCGTGTGCATTGATGGAAACAATGGAAGGAAACAATGGAATGTAACCTTTTTTGACGAAAAACAGTTCAATTTGGACGGACTCGATGGCTTACACTACTACTTTCACGGCCTGCGGAACGAGATGATAATGTTGCAAAGAAGGCAAATGGGTGATAGTGAAATTATGGTCCATACCATAATAGGTTATTACGGTAAGACCAAATTAAAGTTTGTTAACCATAATAGCAAAACAAAAATGGATTTTACAACAAAATAGTGCAGCAGTGCATAATGCTGGCATAGTGAAACAGTGTTTCAAGGAAAAAAAAATACAAATATTGCCGTGGCTCGCTAGATGTTCCGACTTAAATACTATCGAGAATTGTTGGGGTACACTCGCCAGTAATGTATACACAAAATGTCGGCAATTCAGCAACATTGAAGACCTCAAAATATGTATACAAGATACAGAGGGCAATGAAACAAAAAACGATGGATGAAATATATATATTTGTTCCCAAACAAATGTTAGAGTCGCACACATCATTAATAAAAGATAATAAAGAAATTTGTATTTTATTTTTCCGTAACAAAAATAGCCTGTCCTATTGTCTTGTCGTAGATCATCAGAAGTATTTCTATGATTCTACATGTAATCGGAGAATACTGTAAATCCAATATATTGCAAAAGAACATTCCCTAAAGTGAACGTTAAAAATCCATTAGCAGGAGAAACAAACTCAGAACACTGTTTCCTCACCGATATGGACGACCCTGAAGTATGTTGTCAAGGTCATTATTCTAAATAACTCTTTCTTATACATGTTACCGCCGCTCGGGCTTAGTTTTCCAAATATTCGGAAAAATATTCCCGGGAATGTGGAGCTTTTGTACTTATTTACAAAAAAAGTAACTCTTGTATGAACTCGGTCTTGACATATATTATTAACACATTGTGTATTGGTAACGAGAAATTTCGTTTTTATATAGACACTTAGCTATGCAACTTTTCTAATTACCACAGCATTTAAAAAAAAACATTAAATTTGATTCGAATTGATTATCTGTTTAAAATATATTACATAACGATACGATATTTGAAGTTTTGTACGTGTAAGTTGGTCTCACTGAAAATTGCCATCCGTACAATTCAGTTTTCTGAAAATTAGCCGTTCGGTAATGTGTTATGGTCATTGTTCTGTATATCCAGGACTTTGAACTATTTATGCAGTGAGTGTTGGATGAAAAGTTATGAAGCATTAAAGTTTTGCATTGCGTTAGAAATTCTGATTAGCTTTTCTGGGCTGGGGTGCGAGTTACGCCCCCTTCCGAAAAATCAATCCCACTAATATCCACCTCTATAATCTTAACGAAATTCGAGTACACATATTACAACGAATACAACTTTAATCAATGAAAATGAAGACGAACATTTCTAGTGCTATGCGAAACTTTAATGCTTCATAACTTTTGATCCAATACTCACGGCTAAAAAGTACAAAATCCTGGGTGTACAGAACAATGACCTTAACAATACATGTCAAGACTAAGGTCATACAAGGATTACTCTTTTGTAAATAAGTACAAAAACTCTCCATTCCCGGGCATATTTTTCTGAATATTTGGAAAACTAAGCTCGAGCGACGGCAACATGTATAGGAAACGGTTGTTCAGAATGATGACCTTAACAATATATTTCAAGATCATCTAAATCGGCAAGGAATCAGTGTTGTAAATAATTATCACCGATTCCTCCATGCAGTACCAATATATACGATTTGAAATGTAAAACTACTGTAGACTACTCCTCAAGGCAACCACCTTCGCAAGATCATTACGACTTCCTGGGAACGTCAATAAGAAAAGCGTCCTTATCATCTCATCTGTTTATCTCTCGTTGCAACTCCCAACATCTGTAGGTTTTTGACAAGATCGACAGCGTTGATGAAGAACCAAGCAGTGTCATTTAAGTACATCGACTACCTGCACTTTCAGCGACCCTCAAGATATTGTTTATTGCGTAAAACCCTATCGTTTCATAGCCAGATTTTCGACATTTCTGACAATATATTCATTTTCTTGTGGCTATAGTTTCATTTAATTTGATTACATAACACTAGAAACGAAATTTTTCGTATAAACTGTTTTCAAGATATCAACATCCGAAGTTGCCGATTTGCCAGTAGTGATGGTAGCTGACGGACAGTGCGACTCTCCACTTGTGAACAAAAGGGCAAGGGGATGCTCGGTTGAACAACCGTGACATCTCAGTTTCGACAGCTTTTCCGTAGTGACGCAACCCTGAAATGGAGCGGAGCTAGTGAAACGCCTATAGATTTCCATAAGAACGCATGGGATAGTAAAGAAAGATAACGAGTGCAATGACTGTGTTCTCAACTGTAAATCCACGATTCCATCGTGTAACAGACAAGGATCCTGGATATTGCGGTCCTTTACTATCTCATGCCAGTTACATTGTTCGTCGACTACCATCACTACCGGCGAATCGGAAATTTTGCATGCTGATATCTTGATAATGGTTTACATGAAAACTTTCACTTCTAATGGTTTGAAACGTCCGAATGCCAACTACAAAAATATATTGAATTCTATTACAACAGAATAGAAACCATAAGGTTCCAATTTAAGAATTTTAACGTGACCTTGCAGGACGTTGAACGGTCACATCACGGTGAAATGTATGCCTCCGTCATATGTAGTATTTTACAGCTTATAACTTTTGTTTAACGTATTCGTTCGTATCACTGATATTTTTCGAAAGAATTCGGTGTTTTGGATTTGATCGCCATACATTTTATCAAAAAAATAAACCTATTTTTATCTCGGGCACCGTTGACATTTCGACCCATGTTCACTACGCTATTTTACTCAATTTAGTGAATTACATACGCCCTTACATTTGTGTACCATAGTTCCCAAACATCCGCTGTAATATCTATTGCAATTAATTAGACAATTAAATAATATTAATTGTTCTGGTCATTTGCAGTTAAATTAACATTCATCACAGCATTTAAGCACGTAAATATGTTTATAAAATAATTGACAGTATACTCATTAAATTGTTACTTAGGTGATATGTGTTTTATTATAATATAATAAAGCAATCGAAAGAGTATTTATTCGTTCTGAGAACTCACATAATACACGTTTAATTTGATCTGGACCAATTCAATAAATGTATTCATATAATGTATTATAATTGACAATTTATCCAAGTAAATTCTAAAAACTGTTCGATGAAGTATTCGAGAAACGGATTATACTAAAAGTTAATTGTCATATATGTTTAAACGATTACCCATTGTCAAGATATTTTAATTGAAAATTAATTGAAACTTTAATTAAAATCGTCATTTAATTGTGAATTATTAATTAAATGAATTTTCGTCTAATACTGCACCATATATGTAGTATGGCCCATGGTTCTCCTTGAAAGCTACGATCTTATGTTAACAGGCGTGATCCAGACAGCTTATCTACTCGACAAGTTAAGGAGCAACGAAGGAAGGAAGCGTTCGGTTATCCTCGCGTTAATTCATGGCAAACCGATAAATCACTTTACGTTTTGTTTTAGCATTCAGAATACCGCATTGCATTTATTTCATTTCAGCAAACTGTATTGTTTACACTGAAAGTCTTGATTGTTTTTCTATGAGCAGAAGATATTGTAAACTTCGTGTTTCAGTGCATTGAGTGTGATGTGTTTGATTACAGCACAATACGCCACAATGTAGAAATAATGGCACATTGCTAGAAGGTCTTTGAAATTCCTTTAATCAATAAGAAGCCACGAAACGTGTAAGGAATCACTCACAGAAGCTGCTTCATCATTCTAACGTATTTATCAAGTAACTACTCGAAGAAACTTTGCATTTGCAAACATTCAAACGATTTAAATCGTTCGACGTAAAAAGATATTTTAATACCCTTTAAATTATTATTTATACAGGATTATTTGAGTACATTGTAACATTCGCTTGTTTTTCCTAACAGATAGAAGTAACGAAGAATAATATAGAAAAATATCTGGATTTCAATATGAAAACAATGTACTGTTTTTAAATATGTTGTTAAATATTTAGTATAACCTTGTAATAACAGAATATCCAACAAACATTTTATTTCGTGTGATAAAAATGTACACGATTAACCCGTGATTTTTTAACAAATCTATGAAGAATATGATGATACACATTTCATTGTTTTAAAAACGATTTAAGATGGTTCGCATAAAAAAGATAAATATGTTTCACAGATATCGGGACTACATGCGGTGGTTGTATGCCTATTGTTGGGTGCAGTGGTATTAGTTGTTGGTCTAGTCCAACTCGTACCAGGAGCGACGACCACGGATCATAGACTTGCACTGCTTGTAGCGGGTGCACTTCTGCTTCTTCTTGGTAAGATATATTTATAAATCTTCCAGTAATTATAAAAAAATATTGTTACATCAAAATACTAGTTAACCTGCTGGAATGCTACACCCTCACCGGTTTTCATAAATTTGTAATCTTAGGAGCATGATTTTGAACAATTTTTCTTTATATGTGTTAGTATCGGTCGATTTTAGTTTTCGAAATAATTGCAAAAACTTTTGCTACTATTACATTCAATTCTGTGTATCTTCATGAGCGCATCTGCGAGAGACCCGTAAGCACAACTGTAAATTTGCTGGTTCGGTTCTCGAGTTTCTCAGGTTTCATACGGTACTCCTCTTTACAAAAGTTCCAATACATAATACAAATCAGATGTGTGGTGCTAGTTTTTATATTTATAGCAGAGAGAGGAAAGGGTCAACAAATTTGCTGTACAACTGCTAAAAATCTTATGCCTCCGTAAAATCCATTTAAATTTAAATAAAAGAAGCTCACAGAAATCTCGAACTGTCCTTTCCACTCCCATCCAGAGAAAACTAGCTCCACTGATCACAATCTATATTATCAAAATGAAATTTATTTCTATATATTGCATGAAACAGCGTTCGAAACTATCTCTGCTAACTAGAACTGATGGAACTTTTATCGAGAAACGTAGAGTGAAACTCGAGAAAATTGAGAGCTGATTCATGTAAACTGCTACCGGAGTGACGAATGCGCAACTATTCTTGTGGCCCTCTCATGAATGCGCTTATGAGTACAAAATTCAATGTAGTTGTACCAAAAGCTGTCCGAAATTGTTTGGTATATTTCAGTAAGGAAACAACATATTTCAAATTCATCAAACTCGGTGTGGGTGTAGCATTTCGGCTGATCTACCAATGTATTTTATGATTATTATTATTACCTTAATATTAATTATCTAATTACTTTTATTACCCTACCTTTAGCATCTAGATAAATGGCTATTAATAAATTATTTAGGATATAAACAATGGCATTTCTTTCGATTACAAATGAGGTCAGGTTGTTGATCTATTTCGCCCTCGCCAATTTTGATGATTTTTAACACGTTGAATGCCGTGGGGTCACTGGTGCCCCCTAACCAAATCGAATTACTATAGTTCACTCAATTAAACGTTGATTATTTGAAAACATTTCTATATTATAAATAATACTACATAATGCGGTGACATCCAGGTAGATGAACATGTAATAACAATTCAATGAAATGATTTGATATTGTAATTGTTCCATTTTGTGTACTTTGCTCTATGAAATTGTGCGGCGTTCAACGTGTTAAATATGTTGTTGGGAACATGATTTTGAACACCTTTTTCCTTTGTGTTGTCAATGGAAAGCTTCAGTTTCCGAGATAGTCGCGAAACACTTTTGCTACTACTCCGCTCAATTCTGTACACATGAGCGCATCTGTGAAAGAGATATAAGTATAATCGCACATCTGTCGCTTCGGCAGCGGCTTGCATCAATCAGCCTTCGTTCTTCTCAGATCACGTGTACACATCTTGACAAAAGTTCCACCAGTTCTTCTTCTTTAAGATTACAGTAGTAGTGGTACCTTCGAACCTTGTTTCGTATAATATATGCCTTGTCGTCGAGGTGACTCTGAGATAACATTGCAAAAAAATGAAACTGCATTCAAGTGATTTCACTTTACTTTATTGTACAAAACTTGCTACACAAATGAACAGAGGCGCAGGAGTCACTTGCTTCAAAAAGACTGAATTACTTTTGCTGTTTTTCCTCGGTATTTAAGGGATCTAGCTTAAGGGAGTGGGGGAAGGAGAGTAGAAAAACTGGGGCTGCAGCGGTGTGTAGGTTTTGGAGGGGCTGTTATTCTAGGATCCGCCGCTTTTGGTCCTGTAGTCGTTATCTAAAGCTCCCATTGCTGCAGTCCTTGAATTTTAGAAAAGAGGGATATTTTCACCGAACGCGTAAATTTGGTGGGTAATCGTTTGCAAAAAGAAATCCGTAAAGCGATAGAAGGAAAGAAGTATTTTTCGGATACATAAATTAAGTATTTAAAAAAGGCGAAATTTTGGAATGTGATTTCGAAGCGACTAACTCCGGTCAGTTTCAGGGCGAATTGAAAAAGGATACCGACTAAATCCATGCCCGTACTCTATATCGATGACCGCCTAGTCACAACACGCCGCGGCACGTAATTCGGTGGGCCACGTTCGCGAGTTTTTTTGAGTCGCGTAACGGCCAAGCCTATCTGTTTGACTCTTTGTACACGCCGGTTATTAATCTCTACAGTATATAAACCAAAAATATATTTTTTATTTTATATATTTTATGTATTACATATGCGTAGTATTCTGTAAAATACAATATAGTTTTTAACGTAATTAATTTTAAACCTTAGAAGCACGATGCGGTGGAATAGGATCTTGACAGACATAGGACCTAAAGTTATTTAAAGAAAAGCGGGACTATTTTTAGGTATAAGAAAGATGATTAGAGTTGGTAAAAAGTGAAAGTAGTATTCAGTGATTGTCGGTCAAATTATAAAGATGTGCCGCACGATCTATTAACACTTCTGAACCGGAAGCTGATCTTAACAGAATCTACTCAAACATTCTTCTATATTCCTCATCGGACTTGCCACTCTCGAGTGTCGATGCGACACATCATGGTTATTTTGTCATCTTCAGTCTGTGTTCATACTTGCTCATCTTCACACTTCGTTTACACTACATTCGTGCCTACCTTCTTAAAAAATGGAGCTTTATTTTTAGGTGTTTTCTTTTTAGCAGTAATAGTAGTTATTCTTTAGTTGTAATATCGCACAGCTTTTAAGGGCTTGTAAATAAATACCCATAATATATTATATTTTATTATGTGCAATTATATCTCTACACATGTTTTGCATAAGTGCATACTTCTTACATGTATACATGCATAGATATTGGAAATGGGTGATGAAGTAATGAAAAAGTATATATTTTACAGTGTGACTTTATTATAACGGCTTTGAAAAATACGTCTCTCTCTTTCAAGTTCTCGAATGCGAATCACTCGAATACCCAAAAGTAAGTTGGGGTCTGCTTTTCTTTACAAGACCGTGTATGGCCTTGCCTGGAGAAAAGCCTCTTGACTTCGCGTGACAAAATCCAGATACATTTCGTTTCCTTTCTATCGCCTTTGTTTAGACTAAAGATATATGAGAACGTTGGGCATTTTTGCTTTTGGTAGCTTAACATTAGTAATAATTCAACAATAGATTTTGCATATTTTCGTATTTGATCATTTCTCAAGATTGACGTAATATATATTGTGTTGATATACGATGAGAGACAAAACAATGTCAAACGTAGTGTTGTAAAAAGGTGTTCTAAGCCTTCAGCTTCCAAAGCTTCAGCGCTGGGGGCTTAAGCCTTGACCTCTAAAAGCTGAATTTTTCAACACGGGAGTCTTTAAACTCGAAGACTCGATCCGGCTGTTGCTTTATTAACACCACAAAGCCGAAACCTTTGAAAAAGGTATAGTAGGATGAGGGGGTCAAAAGTGCACTTACATCGATTTTAAAACCCCTAAAAAGTATTGTAAAATGTCGATTTCATATTGAAGCTTCCGAGCAACAACTATCATTTCTATAGCATTTCATTTTTAAAGCAATAACATATTAGTACGATAAATATTCCATTAAATATTTATATATAAATTTTTGTAATAGAAACTTTTGTCACGGGATACAGTTGCCCAAAACATCGATTTCTACAACACAAGCCGATTTATCAATGTGTGGCAAGTACTAAATTGTCACTGTGACCTTATCTTTTTCGTAGTATTTTCTACTTCGTTCTTATAGGATTTTTAATCTAAAGTAACTCCCGCGTAGTGTCGGAAAGAAGGGAAAACAAGTTGGCGAGGTTTAGTTTAATAAAAAAGAGTTTATTAAATAAAAATAAAACTACAACGATACTGTTTCACTTGTCGCTAACACGCTTTACTCGTTCGCTTATTAACGTTCACACAAGCGCTCTGCCAACGAGTTTTCACGTACGTGCTTTTATCTCTCATTCGCATTCGTTTTTTTTCTTTATATTCGTATACCGCTCACTTGCACTACAACCTTTGCATCCATAGTTAAAACTCACGCGATTGCGTACAGAGTATAGAGAAATTAAGTTCAATGAGTACGGTAGCGAGATGATACACATTTGGATCGGTGACGATTTGATAAAAAAAGTCCATGCAAAATTGACTTTAACCTTGAATTTCGAGGTTAATTTCTTTTTAAATGCAGCGTATTCTACTCATCACTAGAAGAAAAAGTCTCAAAAGAACGATGAGTTGCAACTCAACCGTGTTCATGGAAAAAGACATTAAAGTTTAGTAAGTCCTCGAGATCACTTTACATATATGATATGCTCATATTAATTCTACAGTCGAGAGCACTAATAATGAAGTGCCGTACAGCACCATACAGTACAATACACAATACTATTGTTGCAGATACGTGCTATAAAATCATTAATCCCTCTTCTCTTTTAATTCATTCTTTTATTTTCTTCTTTATTATCCTTAACTATTTAATTTATCTAAACTGTCGTTAAATAGTCCAGATAGTCACATCTTGACTATGGCCGAAAGGTCAGAGTGCAAGTGAGAAGGATGCAAGCGGAAGGAAGAAATAACGAATGGGGGGAACGAATTTTTTCCCGTTTTCTGGAGAAAACTCAACAACTTAAAAAGTATGAGTAATAAGAAAAGATGCTTCAGACGAAAGTTGTAAGATATAAAGCTGAACATATGGTGATTATATTTCTTTTACCTTAATGAATATTTCACATTTCGATTGCAATGTTATATAAATAGAGAAACGGAATTCACTTGCACAAAATTATGTGAAATCGGATCTACATGCTTCGGAGAATAGTTTCCATTGTTAAAAATCTGTATAAATATATTTAACGATAAATACAAGATAAAAATATAAATAAGTGGTAAACCTGGAATGTCTGTAGGACAATCTTTGTGCGTGCTAAACAGTGGTTATTATTCATTGATATTTTAAATAAAAATCACTTTGTATAACAGAGACTACTTAGCAACAGATTGGTAACCTTCAGTTTTCGTTATGTGAATAGTTGAATTCTATTGGTTTTGTCTAGAGGTGGCCGCACTGTTTACTTTGCGACAGCGTGATAGCGAATTTTTCTGCTGTTTATTTTGTTCTCTGTGACAATAAACTGTTTGTTATTGTTACATCATGAATTCTGCGAGTCCATTAACCCTTTTATCTCTGAAAGCGAAAATCCTATAGAATTAATGATCAGTTTTTTCCACCCCAAGACGTCTAATCTGAAACTCTCCTTAAAAACCAACATGTCTTCCTAGAGTCTGAGCCGTTAATCAGTTATTGTATGAGATACACGAGAGGACGCAAGTCCTTTGATACATTTCTATGCATTAGACGATGCAATTCGCTATTCTACGTATAAAGTTATTAAGTCATTTGTAGCAACAGATCATTAGTTTACCAGATATTTTAATTTCAATATTAAGAAATGAGGTCAGTAGATATGTACACGGCCTAACACTTACTTTTTAAATTTTATTTTCGTTAATCTTCAACGTGATCCACGATAAGCAGAATATGTCAATAGCAAGAAGTTTGAATATTTTACCAAGCAAGTTCATTTGCAACTCTCGTCTTATTAATTTTACATCATCTTAATATATTAAAGTTCATATAGTAAAGAGACAGGTATTCACGAAGAAAAAACCGGTGACCTTAAAATGACTACATCACGTCACAGTGACCATGCGACGAACCATTTTAGTGTTACTAAATACGCGTCCTAGAGGCTCCTCTCAGTTATTTTTTCTCACTTACAACAACAATGAAAATAATTGAGATTATTTCGAATGTTCGACTTAAGTGGAACACGTATACAGAGTTGTTTTTGGAACTGATGGTGCAAGTGAAATGCAAGTGAAATTGTTCTATGAACTCTCATTTTCAAAGAAATCGACATTAAAACTGATTTGGTATTAAGGCTTCATAGAAAAGAAATAACACCTTACGTTTCTTACTTATCTGTCGATGTGGATTCGTAGGGCTTCGAGTTATACTATCCGTCCAAGAACACTCTGTGTTTCTAATACACTGCGCAAACATGTAAATAGCGAGTAGTATGATAATATAAAAAGATTTTAAGAATGTTTTGTCTTTTAGGTATTATTCTAGCTGGCGTAAGATGTTACGTCTTGCACTGTGTACCCTTACCGACGGAATCACCCGCAGCAACTCCATTTCCGCCCCCGGCTAACGAGCAATCTGGACTTCCAAGAGGTACTCTAGATCTGCTAGTCGGGCATCAAAATCAACCGGAGACCGATGCCCTTATGCACCCCGAACACCATCATCAACATCACCATCACCATCACAGCAACTATAAGAAAAAACGAAGCTCCCATGGGTCCCACTCCGACGAAGCCTAATGATCGATGGCACAGTTCTGACGAATTAATCGGGCTCCAGTCCGTCAGCGATGAAAACGAATTACGCTGGCAACTAGAGGCAGAACTACGTGTCGTTTCAGACCAAATTAAAGAGAGATCTCAAAGTAGATGAAACATTTGGAAAGGAAACTGAGGTAACCTAGTGAGAGACGGTTCTGTATCCTCTAATAGTCTGTACGTGTACATTATACCCGATTCTTTTATCATTTGTAACTTTCTATATATGTATATATACATGCATATACGATACTTATCGTCAACGTGTACTCAGCTTGACACGACGCTGAGGAAAGTGCACTTTTCTATCTTGTCTCTCTTCGATACCACTTTATAGACCACCGTTATTTCATTGGTGCGTAAGAATTTTCATACCGAGACAATGTATGAAAACCGAGGCGTCTTGTGCGTCACGCGGTAATTAAGTACTTACGGAAGTTGCCCAGCGTTACGCAACATTATTCGAATAAAAGGAATGCGAGGGAGATTTCTTCGGGTATTCTTTCGAGTCTGCTTGTCGTAACTGTGTAAGCTGATAATCGATAGGAGGAAGGTTATTAAGAATTTTGCATATGTTTTAATGTGAATTCATGAACGTCCAGGATATTAATCATAGAATTTTACTTGTACTTCAGAGTATCACTTCTTTGATAAAGAAGTTTCATATAAATCTTGTTAAGGAACTTTTTCCGACGGTAACGGAATTGAATCAAGGTACAAAATGAGGAAATTTTTGACGTACACCTTGCATGTGAACGATACTCGTTACCGCTATGGGAAAAAGAATGACTCTTTCTGAGAAACAATGAGAAAACTGTCCAAAAACATATTGTATGAAATGCGTACATCGCGGTGTCGCATCGTATGAACAGAGTCTCTCGTGCGATCAAAGCGGCGCGTTCTACATGGCCAGACAGAACGGAAAGGTGGAAAGTATAGATTTTCATTAATGATTTAAGAAGCGTTGATATTCAGAACGCAAGAATATAAAGGTCCAGCGAAAGGGGCAACAATGCAAGATGCAAGGAAACAAAGATCGGTAAATCGTGCCGTCGAATTCGATAGTAAAGTTGGAGAAGGATGTTAACACTCTGAAATCCGGAAACTGATGTTTGCGTCTATGTTCAGCCGTAGTTTACAGATCGAGAGGACAGATTCAGATTTTGATGCGGTACGATGACAATGCCCCCTCATCTTATCTGATCTTATCTCATCTGCTCGTTTCTCTCGAGAAGCTATTATAACGTGTCGGTAATAACGCCGAGGGTACCGGTCTTCAAGGTGTTAAGCATGATTTCACGTGCCAATACTATTGAGTTTACGACACCGTCAGAGAATTATACCGTAGTCTTCTGAACATCCTCCCTTCTTTGTGCTCTCTTGTTCCATAGCTTGGTGCGTGTTGATCGTATACCTATTTGAAGAAAATGTAGGTTAGGGTATGGCGTTAAAAAGTTAAAAATTTAAAAGGGATGGCCTAGCGTCGATAGGTTTACTATGAAGAATCGTGGGCATTTTCCAAATTTCGGGGACGTATTTTATTTAGCGAACCTAACTGGATTAGAAAATTATTATTTCTATGTACGTATCTGCTACTTGGAATCTTGTACTGAGACAGACAATTATAGACATTCTCTAACAAATTATTCAAGGGCATGTCGAAATAATCAAAAAGGTCTAGCAATGAAATTTGCAAGGTGTCTACGAAAGAGAACTCTATCCAGCACTTTTTCGATAGTTACTAATTGTTTTTCTACTATGACATGAAATAATTTCGACACGGAAGTATCGAAGGAACTTTGATAGAAAATTTATTCGCAACTGATTAAATGAATACGCTCTTGATAATTACAAGGGCCTCGAATCAAAGTATTCATTGTTATCTCTATGTGTTTTTGATTATTTTACAAATCAATGATTTTTTAATATAAAATTACTGTTACGAAAGGAAAAGATAAAAATCCTAAAGTCTTCATATTCTACGCACAGAAAACTTCATTTATAAATGTACTGCTTGTAAATAAGCTGCTTCCTATTCGAAATTTCTTTAGTCATTTCAAATTTATTCAAGACATTTTAGGTTTTTCATAAGTATTTCGGTAAAGTATACATTGTCGTAGAACAATTTGGGTACACGGATTTATGAAAAATAGTCATAAATTGATCTGTTCGAAATTTCTTTAGTCATTTATCATTTATTCGAGGCGTGTTAGGTTTTCCAGAAGTATTTCAGTAAAGTATACATTGTCGTAGAACAATTTGGGTACACGGATTTATGAGAAATAGTCATAAATTGGTCTGACCGAAAGCAGTACATAAAGGACATAATTGATGTCTAAAACGAGCATAACTCATACTCGCCTTCTGTTTAACTCGAATTTTCCATATGTTTGATATTTTTTAATAAGCACTTTCATTTTTCGTTGATTCATCTTGGTATAAACACGATTCACGCAATTTTCATATTTAATAAAGATCTTAGATCTTAACCTATATAGTTTGTATGGGGAAACTAAAGTATTTACAGCGTTGCGTCCCACTACCTGTTAAACCTCGCTAGAGTACCCAAAAGTCGTAACAAATGCTGATCGATTTTCCACCTATTCACTGCATTAACAAATTCAACATTTCAATTAGTACCTCCGAATAACTATGCTTTGTTATATCCTTTCATCAATGCCACATAATATCGTTGAAAATGAAAGTATAATGGAACAAACAACCATGTAAAAAGAATTGATGATAAAACACAGACCAAGTAACATAAGCATTAAACAATTTCAGAGAATATAGTATCTTTTATGATCAATACATTTTACTAAAATAAAACACATATGAAAATGTTATTACCCATATCTCTTCAAATTCATTATTTATGATTTTTCATTATTGCAGTTAATTGTTTTATATTTATGTCAATATGTGTGTGTAAATATAAATATGTATGTATAATATATTATTATTTATAGTTCTTACATAAAATTCATTATTTTTAATAAAAGTTAGAAATAGAATTGAATCACGAATTATCTTTCTGTAAGGACATTGAGAATTTTTTCTAATTTGACTTTCAGAAAGCAATTTGTTTTACCGAATATTTTTAAATTTAATAAAGATCGTAGCTTACTACTATAATTGTACAGTAGAATGTTTGGCAACCAGAACAATTGAATAACAACATTTTTCGAAATATATTAATTTATTTAAACTCCTTTAACAGTAATTAACTTTTCGCATTATATTCAATCTCTATCATTCAATCCTAAACAAACCCAATAATAATAGTAATGGTAATAATAATAACAGGGAACTTTTCCATATCACGGTAAAAGTGATATATGTGATTGAGTTTTCTGCTTCGGTGGAGAGAAACATCTTAGTCAAGGAGGAGGAGATTAGAGGACAAACAGACTAAATACAAAGACCTTGTGGATGAGCTACACAAGGTGAAGCGGGGATATTCAATCAAACGGGTTGTTCTTATAATCAGGGTGATCGGGAGAATGAGGCCTTCGCTAGACCAAAATCTAAAGATCATTCCGGCCTGCCAGAAATACGCTATCGCTCTTGCAGGCCAAATGAAGAAAGCGATCATCCTGGGTTCGTTTCGTTTACTCACGTTACAGGATTTAAACTCCGAGTTATGATAGTTGCTTATCCTGAGAAACTGGTGAGCGCTGTGGCAGTAAAATCGCCTGACACAAGCCGGCCTGGCTGGTCAGAGTCTAGAGAGGTCGGTCAGATAATCTCATTTAATGGGAAAATAATGATAATTATAATTTCAGTCCTTTTTCAGAAAAGAACAATAGCGAGTACTTTGCAACTTGGTTTAACTTGTTTCACGGGGAATAAACCATCCATCATATAGATACGAAATAGTAAAATAATAATAATAATAATAATAATAATGATAACAATAATAGTAACTGCGCGAAAAATAGGTATTTGTTCACAAAACAGCCGACCAATAACAACATGTATAACAGAAGAACGAGAAGGATGTAGGAAAAGCAACCGAGAATGCAAAGAATATGTAATAATAGTGTCATAATGAATCAAGCAACGAAGGAACACAGTAATCTTCACGTAACGCACATAGTTAACTGAGTCAGTATCACATAACTGGCCCACAAAAACATTACAAATATACAAAATACATCCAAAAAACCAAGAACTTTTTAACACAGTAATGAAAACATGGAGGATAACAATATCTCTAACAACAGATGCACAACATACAACAATAGATAAAAGGAAATAAATAGAGGTGTTTTCGAAGGAGATTCTCTTAACGCCTTCTGGTTCAGTACATGTATGAACCCCCTATCCAATGCTCTAAATGAAACCACATACGCTTCAATGTTAAGAAAAACAAAGTAACAAACTATAAAATAAACTGTCTGTTATATATATGGCGACAAGGAATCTATGCAGTCACAAAAGAACACTTAACGAGAATGATAAAAACAATAGAAATGATCTCCAATAGTCATTAAAATGGAATTCCGAACAAACAAATGCAAAACTGAAACAACGCAGGAAAAGTTAATTAATGAAACAATAAATAGCATAAGTAACGATGAAAAATAAAAATACTTGGCTTTCCATTAATTAAAAGAAAGCTGCAAAACACTTATAAAAACCGCTTAAAAGCACTAAAGAAATCCCAATTAACAGCAAAGAATCTCCTTAAAACCATAAACAGCTATGCCATACTGATACTCAACTGATACTCAACTATTACTTTGGGGTCATCAAGTGAACACAGACGAACCTACGTAACATTGAAATAACCACCTGAGGAAGATTAACGAAACACAAATAACGTCATCCAAATTCATGTAAGAAACAAGTCACAATAAACGGAAAAGAAGGGATAAAAGGACTCATAGCATACAAACACTGTAACTAAACCAAATTAATACAAATAGAACATATTTTCACGTGAGAAACAACCAAGTACATAAACTAATAAATGTGGCTGATAAAACAAATGATACACGAGGAAACACGGATAGAATAAAAATAAAAGGGAAAAACTGGGCAAATAAAAAATTACACGCAAAACATCTACATATTACGAACGATTATAACATAGACAAAGTACACACCTACAAATGGTTACAAACAGGACAAATATATTTAGAAACCAAAGAATTCATTATAACAATCCAAGACCACATTACAGCTACACAAAATAATCGTTAGTACATTATGAAATATACCATAATACCAGACGACAGTTGCAGAAAATGTCAACAAACAAACGAAAAAATAGTAGATTATATTATTGGAGAATACAAACTACTTACAGGAATGAAATATACAGGAAGACACAACCAAGCAGCAAAAATAATGTATCAACCAATAACGAATAAATATAAACTAATCGCACTATAAATACACACAAATTACAGCACTCAAAAATAACCAATACAAATTATATTCGAACATAACAACAAATACAAATAAAACGACACTATACAGTAACACTGCAACATAAAATTGAAAAGGTTACATTCATCATAAATATTACCATATCGATACATAAACATAACAGCTAAATATAAAACAAATGGACAAATATTCACTATTAGTAAAAGAAATAGAAAAAATATGGAAACAAACATAAATGATAATAACCCTACTTATCATATCTGCAACCGGTATACAATAACATCCAAGACATTTATGTAAAACATCAAGCAACTCCAGTCAGACAGGAACTTACATAAACAAAAGAAGAGTAGAGTACCTTGAACCTTAGTTTAACCCATTTCAATTGACCTAAAATTATCGTCACGAAAAACATGTAACTAACAAAAGGAAACGTGTACAGTAAATATTAGGTCCACAACAAATTTCCTTATAAATACCCGGCAGTCACACCTATATAGCGCGCGATTGGGAAGAAATTCACCTTAACAAAGAATTCAATGATCGAGTAATGCAATTTAACTTGAAGTTATATATTCCGACAAGATTAATATTAATTTAATGATGGAACTTTATTTATTTCACTTTAGTAATGTTCCATTGTCTGATTCAAAGTAGTACGAGAATCGCTATGGACACAAAACGAAACTGCAGACGGTTATAGTAAAATTTGATATCCACAAGTATAAAATGTTTCAAATAGAAAAAGTGAAAAATCTAAACAACATGAATATTCATGGAATCATAAGTATATACGTAAGTATCTCGATTTTGGAGAAAACATAACAAATAAATGCAGGCACACAAAATCACACCGAAAACAATATACAAAACAACAACGAATTTCTGAATTTGAAACAGAGATCACAGAAAATCTTTTTAAATGAATATTTGGAAACGTTAATGTTTTGACACGAATAAAAACCGATAAAATACAAGGAACACATGTTATAATACTTCCACATCATGGACGTTGACTCTGTTAGGCAACAGTAAAAGTATCAAGAAGCTATACACTATCTAACGTAATCACAGAGAATCGTCGTTGCAATACATATAAAGGAATAGCATAAGTATAAAAGAAAATACACAACAAGCATTATAATATTACGTTGACAATTTTATTCGCGATTTTACCTTTCTTAAACGTAATTATTTATTAAAATACAATTAATATATAATACTTATATTCATCAATTCTTCAATACTACAACGGTAACACTTGGCTATGGTTCAATCAAAATACGTGGAAAAATGCGTTTTAACATTCTGAAATTCGGAAAATTATTTTCCAGCCAAGGAATCATGTAACGATACAAAGAAATGGGACAAGCATTGTCGCATCACAGAATGTCGCCTTTGTGTAATCGTTGACATTGATCAAGTTACCAGTTATTCATCTACACCAGAGATCTCGGGATGCCTCCCCTCAAGCGAGTGACTCTCAACTAGCGGTTTCTTTAGTATTGCTACTCTGGAAGCTACCAAGACTGTGTAAGTACGCGGGCAGCTCTATGTGGTATTCAGTACAAGTAGGTGAAATTAGGTATGGAAAGGGTAACTCTCGCCTACCAGATCGTGGGGGGAAAAACCTTAGGTAAGAAACGAACTCCCAGTTCGGCATCTTTGATTCAAATACACTACCACCATTTTCATCTAATTGCTAGTAAATATTACTTTTAATTTACTAGCAATCAAAAAGTCGTGAATGTAGTTGCCAACCTAACAACAACAATAATAATGAACACATAAGGATAGAATACACATTTGAATGACTGTAAGGCCCGATACAATTATCAGTCCGTTTTCGACCTGGTTACGCTCCGTTCAAAATTCTTTCCTTGTATATTGCTAGAAAAACTATAGACCACGTAGTAGCAGGGTGCAAAGTAGTCGGAGAAATAGCACACCTGACCAATCACAGTGCAGTAATAGAAATCATAATTATGCATCTGAGAAAACTGTAGACTATAAATAATTTATAACTATTCAAATGACCGACAAATCCAATAAAAATTATTTGTTGCTTAGCTCGAACTAATTTCAGATGTAAATTATCATACATCCTGAAAATTTTCTCATGATAATAATCATTTTTCAGATTTGTTTATAATATCTATATTAAGTATTAGCAAAAATTTACAAAACTGAATGTAACATTTATACTATGTTTGTAAAACGTAAAAAATAATGTCAGTGAAAAGATACAAAAATACAGTAGGGTATCTCGTATTTGAACGCATAGGAAAACGAAAGTGTTTGAATAAAGGATTTTTCATGTAGAACAATGTCTTTTCTGATACCTAGATATCATTTATATAAATAAAGATCATGAAGACTGACAATATGTACAAATATTTATGATCTCATATCACTTTGACTATGAAATTACATAAATATAAGAAATTATAGGTTAAACTGTCTATTGCTAGAAGACACTATTTGAATATGGAACGTAAAATGTTTAGATATCGGTGGAATATTCAAATGTAATAGTCGTACGGGTATGGGCTCTACTGTAGGATATTAGTTTCGAAAGAAATAAAGAAATAATAGGAATAAGACAAATAAGTGACAGTAATATAAAGCAGTTTTTGAAACACTGAGATGCTACTGTATTTACTTCATAGATCTCCAATAGATCTCGAATAGGTCTGCATTTAAACACGTACATACTGCTATAAAATCAATTATTATAAAAACTTATTCGCTGTATTATCGTAAATATTTTCAAGAAAATTTCTCAGACATATTTATGCATACATACAGAAGACAAGCAAACATTAAAAAAAAACAATAATTAGAAAAATATTGATATAACAATAGTACTTGTGATTTGGTAACCAAATTCTCGCATGCTCGTCATATTACAGAAGTGTGAATTGAAATATTAATAATGCTGATATATTTTATAAACTTGAAAACTTACTTACTTTTCTACTATGAGTTTCATTATCACGACTTTAATGAAAGAACTCTCCTAAATCATAGTAAAAGTGTTTATTTCGTTTTGTTTCATACATTCATGAATTGTATTACAAATTCATCAAATCTGCATTCTACTTATATAAAATATACAGGATGTCTTATTTTAATATTTTGTGACAACTATTTCGAAAAATATGAAGATGCAATATATTTTTCCAGTAAAAGTTTTGTCATATGAAGTGAGACAAATTATAATTACGTTGATTTATTTTATTAGTTTAAATTCGATTTAAAATTTTTAAACGAGAACATATATTTTGTTACGTATGTTTCTTATTTGCATTGAAACGATTTCAAAATAATACTTACATTATTATTATTATTATTATTATTATTATTATTATTATTATTATTATTATAAGTGCTAGTAGTATTATAAATTATCCATACTTCCATATTTTATACAAGCGACTCCCGTAGTAGTATGTTTTATAATTGTCATACTATCAACATACAAATCTAACTGAGCTCACACTAAACATCATCAAAGCTAGAGGAAATCCTCCTAGCTTCGGATACTTAAGCTTTCCTAAAGATATTTATAATTAGGGAAGTCTTTCAAATGATCTATGTTTGCATTAATTTATATCGGAAGCACTAAAAATGACAAAGGAAGGAATGAAATAGTCAAGATGAATGTATTTAATATAAAAAATGTTCAATAAACTTATATGTATAATCTTTACAAGAAAAGTAGCTCTTATCGTCGGATAGTTTAAGATGGTTCTCATTTGATGGAACTTTTCCTGCGTTAATTCGTACAATCTCAAGCGTAACAAACCAGAATTTTTTTATTTCGTTCTCGTCAATCTTTCCGTGGACAGAATATTTCCATTAAAGTTCAGGTATTTTACTAAACGCTAATGTCCGGTATTAAGAGGAATTCCTCCTATAGGTTCTTAAATATGCTTAAATAAGCTTAAGTTTGTAAGCTCAAAGAAGTCGTATTCTGTCTTTCACTTAATTACATTATCCTGTATTTTCTATATTTTTTGAGATATTTGTCTGGGGATATTAGAATGAAACATCATATTTACGTTTTTATATTCTTTATGTTTTTGCATCGTTTATATAATGCGTTTATGTTTCTTGATACTGGACTTACTGCATAATTCCTTCCTCTCCGATTTAATTCGTAATAACGCATAATACGCTCAACAACAAAGTTACTGACAAAATGTGAATCCACAGTGGTCGGCTGTAGGCTGAATCACTATTTGCCAATCACGTGAGAGCTAATGATACCGTGATGCAAAATGACACTCTTACATTTACAACGATTACTTTTTGCTGATGTACATACGATAACAACGACACAATTTTACAAACGGTTAGTCTATTGAACGAAAATAATTCTTGGCCTAAAAATGACATATGTATTAACAAATTTTATTTAAGAAGTTATGCTTATTAAAGAAGAAAGCTTATTTTTTGCAACTAACTTTCGAAAAACAACTAACATGGAATTACTAGTCCAGAATTGTGCAGTGTCACAAAACAGTTTACTAACATTGATCCAATCTTATCTTGTATTTTCTTTTAGACAGAAAAACCCCGATATAAATACAATATGCAATTGTTTATACTGAACCTAGCTCCTTTTCATAGATTAAATTGTTTACCGATACATTCATGAATATATTGTGTTCTATAATGTTAACTAAGTAATCTATTACATCAAAGTTTGTATACTTAAGTATATGTATGATTTTTACTTTAAATTCGTAAACTTTTGCTGTATATCATGTTTTTTATGTTTAACCTGTAAACCATACACTGTTAATTATTACTCATAACTTTCACGCTATCATAATTATAATGTGAGATAACACTTGTCCTATCTTTTGTCTGGGTGTCTATGTATTTTCATTGACATTATTGAAAGAAATTATAGTTGTATAATTTAGTTTCCAAATATTCTTTTTCTTTACGCGGAGGGAAGCATCTAAACAAAGTATAGTATATAAATATGTTGATGGCAGTCACTTAACGTGGTGGCATAAAGACAAGAATGGTGCGCCACTCGCTTCACTTGGTCCCACCTTTAATATTTTCGTGGTTGAACCGTTTGAGATGCAAGCGGCGCAATCGCGTTTCTCCACTACACTTTATGCGATCACAACGCTTCGCTCTTTTCGACCGGCTTATTGCAAAAACCCATGTCACTGAAATGATTAAAAGAAGCTATCTTCAAAGAGGTCTATAATTAGATTTGCAGTCCTCTAACTAGACAACTTGTTATGTTAATATTCTGAGAGCGTCTGTGCCAACCAGTAGGTGAAGTTCTTCTATCTCTTGTCCAAACAATCCTCTGTAACGAGTGAGATATACTGATTCTAAGGATTCTCGCCCAAAGTTTAACATTCCATATTGTTAAAGAATGAGTTCTTACAGTGGCATGAAAATTTGTAGTCTACTACCATAGGTATAATCTACATTACAAACTCCATCAGAAATAAATCATGACCTATATGTTGTAATAAATAATCTATGTTGCAATGTTGAACTAACATAATGTCGTGGAAAGGGATTCCTTGTTTTCAATTCATTGTTATTCATCATTTTCCCAGAAAATTCATTGTTCGAAAATAATAGCAGGTATTCGAATATTTTATGCTGTACACGCATTTGCAAGCAATTTATAACAGATAAAAGATTAGCACGTAGAACGACAGAGATTCAAGGCGGGTATTTCAATATGTGTGTTTGTCTGCCGTATTCATTCAACATTATAATATTAGTGTCGAAAATGCATATAAAAAGGGACATGCCTCCTTCTACTTTGACCAATTAGATTATCATTCCTTTTAGGTGACTTCTTTAATATGCATTCCTCATTTAATAATAGTTCTTTCTAAAGATTTATGACAAAGAATGATTCATTTCTATATTTTATTGATTTCAATTCAAATTTTATATCCTTTACTTCTTTATTTCAATCATTTGAATTGACTCCCTTGAGGGATCCTACTTTACTTTCCACTTGTAGTCCTTTATTATTCTTACCTCATTCATACGTATATCATTCCGGTGTTACAAGTCGGGGTTTCAGTCCTTTTAATGGGTTAGACAACATTCTCTTGATTGATATGCCTTTTCTATAGTTAATGATCCTTTTTAACTGCATACGGTATTTGTCTTTGCTTTCGCTTCATCCATTGCAGATATTATCATTCTTTTTTCTTCCAGACTTTTATTGCTATTTGTCATGTATGCAAATGTGCCAGAATCTTTGATACAAGTGTTTAATCTGCCTGATTCTTTTGTCATGAAAACATCTTGCTGCCAGCTAATTCCTTTCGATTTTTTAATCTTAAAAACTCAGTCTTTATTCTAACGTTTTCCTTCTTTTATATGTGTATATTACAAGACCGTTTCATTTTAAATGCTTAGAATTTTTTGACTGCTTTACTTTCATATACTTCTTCTACTTATCTACTGTAAAATTCATTATTTTTCTTTCTTTTTTTTCATTTAGATTCGTAGGACCTATGAAATGTTTGTGCTCTGTCATTAATATTATTAATGCTTTAACTGTGCTGTCGAACAAATTTGAACTTTTTGTTTCAAAATTTGATATATAGTTTTTGTAGATTTGTATGCCCTCCACATGTGCAGTTTTAGAGAACCTTAATTTTAAAAGAAGGAATCGAATTTACAACGTGAACAATTATTTGTGCGAGAATTACAAAAGCTATACGAACAACTCTTCGAGAAGATGATTTAATACATTCTTCAAAGTAAAATGGTATTCACTTACACTCCGCGACAAAACTATAAGACATCGGCGATTTTATCCAATATTTTATTAATAGTAATTTTTTCGTAAAAGTTTTCGTTATTAATGCAAAGAATGAACTAAAGTACATACATTTCCATAGCGGCAATGTTGTTGAACTAAATTGAAAAAAGTTTCATTAAAATTTCTAATTTTTGATAAAATAAGGTGCGACAAAATTATAAAACAATGTATATTTTAGAGAAGAAAAAGTGGGTGGAAGTTAATGAGAAAAATTTTTTTTTATTTGTTAGTAACGTATTGTGCTATCTTTATTTTTTATAGTTTCAATTAATCGCCGTGGTATCGATTTATATAAATTTTTTATTTGATCTTGACTTAATTTGGCTCATTGTTCTTCAATATAAGCTTTCAACTCTTCCACCGACAAAAACTGTGCCCCATTTCTGTATACAGCATGTGCTAAGATTCTCCAGATGTTTTCTATTATATTTAAATCTGGAGACCTCGTAAACCATAGTAAAATTTGTATATTACGGTCTTCAAAATATTTGTTTACACGTTTTGCTGTATTTACAGCGTTATCATGTTGAAAAATATAAGTTCCACATGCAATAGTATTGGCATGTCGCGTTAATTATTCTTTTAATATTTCTATATATTTAACTGCATTCATGGTGGTGTTAATAAATTTTATATCGGTTCTCCCGTGGTTCCCTATTACAGCCTACACCATGATGCCGCCTCCGCCCATTTGCCTCCTTGACAAATGCAATTCTTCCTTCTGCAAATCATGAAAATAATATGAAATACCATCTGGTTCATCTAGATTCAAACGTGTTTCATCTGAAATGATAACTTTGTGCTTCTACTCTCTGTCACAAAAAGTGCAACTCTTTCATTGGCTAAATAAATAAAACAGATTTCTATGTTTATACAAAATATCGTTTTCACACACTTCTGTGTCACATCTATCATTATCTCGATTACCATATGACTACAATGTGATTATTCTCGGAAAAAAACATTTTGCATTCACATATTAAGGTCAGTGCTAATATTCATTGTCTTCGAAGTATCAGGAAATTCTTGTACTTTCTGAACAAATAATTTTATAAAGAGGAACAAAGAGAGAAAAAATTGTTTGCATATATTTTTATTTGAATGGAAATGTAGTGAGAATCATATCTGTAAAATAATTAACACGTTCGTTACCACGGTTACACATTTGCGACGGGCGCAATCTTATATTTTACATTAAGCAAATGAAATTAATCTTATAGATATTGTTATTTAAAGTTACAAGCTATGGCATTATATTTAGGAACTCAATAACTCGTTCCAGTTTCATTTTTTCGATATTTTGTTTAAAAGATTTATTGAATTGAATAACATATTACAGATAAGGAGGTCCTCATTGAAATAAACGATGGAACGAACATGTTAAAGCCATTTAAAAGAATGTCATTATTACATAAAGAACAAGCGTGAACAGGTGCTCTAATTTCTAAAATTACCAGCCATGTTTGGAC